CTGGGTCTTTCCGACCCCTCAAAGTCATGTGCCCTTCTGCGGCTCTCAGTTGTCCTGCAGTGAGTGAAGGAGGGCTGACAGCAAAGTCACACCGCTGGGCCAGGACACACAGAGTTTGGATGTTAATCGACCATGGAATGGGAAGCCCCGGAGTCAGAGTCAGGATGACAGGGTTTGATTTTGAAAGATTCCCCAGGCTGATGTGCAAGAAACAGAGTGGGGGTCGAGAAGGGGTACAGACTGAGGTGATAAAAATGCTCTGAAACTAGACAGAGGTGACAGTGGCACAACTTTGTGAATATACTAAATGCCACTTTAGGATGGTTAAAGTGGTAAATTTTATGTCATGTGCATTTTACCAACGGGGGGATAAAGGGATAAAGGGAGAGAGGGAGAGAGGGAGAGAGGGAGAGAGGGAGAGACCAATGTGGGGCCAGGGTACCTCTAGCTGATGACAGTGGCTTTCTAGAACGGTGGTGGCAATAACGGAGGTGCCAGTGGTGGTAATTAAAGCTGTCATATTTAGGGTCTGTTTTGGAGGTTAAAACAACAGGACTGCAGATGAATTTGAAGTATAAAGTACTGTTTTGTTTTTTGGCCTGAGCCTCGCAATGGGTCATGGTGCCACTTCCGGGGCCAAACATGGGACTTTGCACATATGGCAGATAATCATTAAAATGTTTGAGAAATGAGGAGTTGATATGAAGTGTACACTTACAGTGGGTAAGAATTCTGTAAGAAAACAGTCCCCAAAAAATGTGCCCCCAGCCAAGGGTCCCGGTGTGACTGCACAGGCATGTAAGTACTCAAGTCGACGGGAAAGGGATGAATGGAGTAACGACAGGAGGCGATACGCATGTGCTTAATATACCTTCACGTCTGCCAACAATGAGACACAACTTGACTGAGTGCTGTCTCGCTAGCACCCCCTTTAATCAGTTCTTTTCACCGGTCTCAGAGTCAAGCTGACTCCTGAAGAAACGGTCCCAACTGGTGGTATCCTTCAAATGTGCCACCCCCACCCCACCCCACCCCCACACAATGGTCTCTGGCAAGCAGGCACCCCCACCAGTTTCAATAACCTTGCCTGCATGTGAGGGCCGGAATCTACTCATTCATGGCCCAAGTATGTGAGGACATCAGAAGACCAGAATTGGGGCAACCTAAATCAGAACCAGCAATGAAATGAACACCCACACAAAAACAGAAATGCCCAAACAGCTGGCACCCACCTCTGTGAAGAAGCCTGCTATCCCAGCCTGGCAGGAGCCGTGTTCTGCTCCGTATTTCTTCTTATACTCTAGAGGGGGAGGGAAGGAAAGAGAACAAACCACAGCCTTGTCAGTGTGTGCCAGTCGTGTGTGGGGCGGCCGAGCGCACTGGCCACTTCCCCGAGTGCCGCTGCGGGCTGGGCCCCAGAACACCCTCCAGGACTGGGGCGTGGAAGGGAAGTCTCAGGAATCCACCAGACCTCAAAAATCCAGGCCCTGGTGCCATCAGGTAGCGAGGCTGCCAAGCGCCCCCTGAGAATTCCTCCATACATGTGGGCAAAGAGGAGCAGTAGCCATAATTAAATGGGAGGCTGGTGACAATTATTTCATTGAGTTCAGAAAGGACAGAGAAGAAAGGAGGAGTTGAAAACATGACCCAGAAATGGGAGGATGTAGCCCTCCCAGTGTGGAGTCCCTTGGACGACAACCAAGCCTTCCAAAAGACACTCATACAGCTGGAGGCAATACGCTTCCCACCATCCAACCAGCAACCAAGTGAGAGCCGAGGGGACACAGGAAAAGGGGACTCCGCGGGCCTGCCCCGGCACACGGTTCCACTATCACTGATGGCGTCTGGTGACACTGCACCCTGACACCTCTGTCTTCCTCATTCCTCCCAAGGAAAAAGGGGAGGCTCTCTCAAGGTCAAAAGAAAACAAATGGATAAGCTCTTTTCCTCCACCATTCCATTCCCTCAGTTCCCAACACTCCGCCCTGACAAAAGGGGGCACTCTGTTGCTGCCATTTTAATTTTAAGTTGGCAGGGAAGACGGCTGAGCAGGTTCCAGGCACTGTGTGGGCTGTGTCCACACACACCATTTTATTGATCCCTCATCCCTGGGAGCCCATATTGCCATTTGTTAACATATAAAACTCCGGAGGCTCAGAGAGGTTAAGTGAACTCTCCAAGGTCACACAGCTAGTAAATGGCAAAGCCAGGATTCTACCCCAAGTTCAGTTCAGCAGACTCAGAAATTCACATTCTTTCACCTCTATGGCCTATCAAACAAAGGTTTTGCAAAGGGAGTGATTACACAAACCCCAGGAAGTGACCTGCCATCTGTAATAATTACACGGGTAAAGACATGGGGATGGAGAGATATTCCGCTCAGGTGACTCAAATTAATTACCTGTACAACTGACATTGCTGGACACTGGCTCACAGGTACCCCTGGGCACCTTCAGGCTGGGGCTACCCAGCAAAATAACCCGGGGACCCTCATGTCACCCCGTGGGCTCTTGGTAAGTCCCTGGTACCATTAAAAGCAGCAAACTTAATTTTGAAACTTTTATAGTTAAATACACAATATACTTACATTTGAAACAAAATAACACAAAGGAACAATGAAGCCTTGATTGCAACACAGTGCCACTTCCTGCAGCTTGGAGTGTCTACTGGAGGAGAAGAGGCAAAAGGGCCCTGGGGAAACATCCAGAGTAATTCAGTTTCTAACAACACTCACCACAGGGCCTGGTAACATTTTCCAGTAAGTGGCCATTAACCGACTGCTAAATTACAACGGAATGTCAATTGAGTTACTCCTCTTCCACGGAGGGCTAAAGCAGTTCCTCCCGCCGTGCCCTGTTATTACGAGGGGAGCTCACAAGCCCGCCAGAAAGCAACCCAGTGGCGAACGGAACTAGCTTGTTCTCTGCAAAATCTTGCACCGGGGCTGGGAGGAGACTTGTGCCAAGTCATAAATAGATGCTGCATCAAATTGTAGGATGATGGCATGAAACAGTAAAAATTAATCATAAACACTACCTCATACAGCACAAGGGCGAGAAGGGTCAAAACGCCCCAACCTGAACAGCTACATTAAATCTGGAAGGTCTGGAAAAAGCATATCCACTCCACCGACTGTAGGGGTAAACAGCCAACTGTAACTCTCAAACAAATGAAACCCAGAGATGAAATTCAGACCCCACAAGCTGAACGAAACTACACGGCAGGACGCACCAGTTTGGCCTCATAAATGTATGACATGAAGAGGAATTATGGGAGACTCTTTCATGGTTTAAAGAAGAAACATGACTCAAGCTCTCTTTTGTGACAGGGACTCAAAAACAGTAGATAAGAAAACTTGAGTGTCTTTCTCCGCCTCATCCCCAAACAGTGCTAGCGAGCTCTATGCCAGGAGCTGGGAGTGCCCTCCTCCCGGCCTCAGGCTAAAGGCCAGCAAGGTGAAGCCCTTCTACCAGCTCACCTACCTCAGCCAGCCTCGAGGTACGGTTAGAAGCCAGACCCCGTCTTCCCAAGCAGGGACTGATTCAGAGGTCTGAGGGCCAAGGACGCACAGAAAGCGGGTATCATCCTACCGGCTTTCACATTTCTGAAACCCAGGGTCTATACCTGCCTTCTCAGGATGCTCCGGAACCAGGAATCAAACCGTGTGGGGCTCGTGACTAGTACCCATAACCCGTAACTCCCAATCAGAGGACAGGCCATGTTCCGACCTCCCAGGATCCTCTGTGACTCCGTCATTAACCCCTTCCCTTGGAACAGGATCCAGTCCTGATGCTTCTGCCCCAACCCTATCCCACCACCACCTTTTGGGGTGGGGGCAGTTGTGGCGAGTCTAGTCTAGGAAGGGCTCAGCTGGTGTTACTGGATTAGACAGGCTCACATTCCAAGCCTTCCACAGCGTTCCAGACCCCTCCTCAGCTTCTCTGTGCAGGTGACGCTGCAGGTACAGGTCCATGAAACCCTCTCCACATCACAAAATGTGTTGGTTCGTCTCCCAGTTTATTCAACACAAAGATGAGTTCCTTCACCGCAGAGTCCCAACACCAGCCCTGCGTGGCTAGTGATGTGTGCTGAGGGGAGGTGTGCACACGTGCTGCTTCGTGCAAGGACCCGAGGCCCATGTCTGTTCCTCCTGATCCACACTAAGGGCCTAAACTATCCAGCCTGCTTTGCTTTAGACCTTTGTCCTCCGACCTTCTAGCCCTGCCTTCTCTCTTCCAACCTGTCAGGCTCTCTAACCTCAACAGCAGCCCTGCTTGAAAAGGAGTTGTGTTCTGGGTACCAGGAATCCTGGGCTCTCCACCTGGTGCCACCACTAACCCCAGAAGCCTGAGGATGGTGGTGGGTATCATCAGAGCTGGGCAAGGACCCATAGCATAGACTTTTCTGGGCTTTCCAAACCTAAATTGCTGACTTCACCTTGGGCAATTCCATCTCCTCTGGGGCCTCAGGAGGGATATTCAGATCCAGCTCTTCAACCCCTGCCCACCTCCTGGCATGACCCTTCACTGACTGTCCTCAAAAACCCAAGGGAAACCTGCTGAGCCACAGGTGGGTCTGCTGCCCAGCCCGGGCGACACCGGCCCATGAAGTCATGTGCCTGTGTCCAAGTCCAGCCCTCCTTACGAAAAGTGCGCTTCCTCTCAAAGCCAAACCCCTCTGAAGCACTGATGTGAGCAGCTTTCACAGAAGATTTCAAAGCTTTTCCCGATCAGTCACATCTTGAGACAGCGCCACTGTACACGTGCGGCCACCCAAACCCCAGGTGCTGTGCCCAGCCCAGTCTGCTCCTTTTCAATTAAAAAAAAAAAATCACATTGTGCTGGCTTACTGGGTATTCAGTAATTCTCAGTAAGTGAGAAGTGGTCTAAGAAAGCATTTTGTGAACAAGGCCACAAAACAGGTAAACTGCCACCTCAGGGTGCTGTGGTGACTATTGGGGCCCAGGCTATGGGGGCTTTCCCAGGAGACACTGGCCAGACACACCAGACAGTGGACCACTGCCCACCTCAGGTGATTTTACTCCTTGGAGTGTTATTTCTATGAGCTAAAGACACCACTGTTATTTTAACCTCATTTTTTATTTTTAAAAGTGATAGAAAAAGGTCAAGTTCAGGCTTCTCCCTAATCCACTTCCCAAATGTCCACAGACAGGACTAGGATATGGGTATGGTAGACCGACCTACCTACCTACCATACCCATAGCCTAAAAAAACCAATTTTGCTGGCTTAGACCTGAGAAGGCAGGAAAGCGTCTCCCCCAGAGCTATAAAAAGGGTGGTAGGTGTGGGGACAGGGGGCTGGCCTGGCCACACATCCCCAAGAAACCCCCCACATCCCACACCCTCCCTCCACTGAGAAGTCCAGGAAGGGCAGCTTGGAGGGATGGGGGGGCAGGGGACATTGTTGTGTTCCCGGGAAGAATTTTTCCTGCACACATACAAAGGCTGTGGGCCCCACAGGGGGCCGTTCCTGGGCCTGTCCATTCAGTCCTGAACTGTCCCAGGGACTGGCCGGGCAGACCGAAGGCTGCAACATGCTACATTCCCCCCCCCTCTCAGCAGCAGAACAAAACATTTATCCACCTCGAAGCAGCAAGGGACAATCAGGCATGGCGTGAGTGCAGCTCACAGATGCTGTAACAAACCTAACGCTGTTAAATTTGGGGCAACTGAACCTGGGAAGCAAAAGAGGTGGTAGAACGAGGGGGCCTAGCAGTCACTGGGAGGAACTGCGAACAGGTTGGAAAGCTCTGTCTTTCTGCCGTGACCGCGTTTGAATTACTCAACCTACGTCGTGTGCTTCGATTCATTAAGTTGTGTGGCACCTCATTCTAAAAATGGTAGCATTTTCCCTGGTTTAGCTTCTGGTATTATTAAACCCTGTCTAAACAGCAAGCAATTCAGAAAGGAAAAAATACCAGTTTCCAAATGTTCACAATCCGCAACTCAATGCGCGGAATTTAAACTAATGGATTTTAATTCATTCAAGAATGAAATTGGGTGGGGTCACCTCCTGCACTCTTCCCAGACACTGGTGGGATTAAAACCAACCCCTGGGAAGATCCGGATTTATATGCAGTGTAACCTATACCCTTTCTACTAATCTCTCTTCCTATTACCCATTTGAGAACGTCTCATCTTTCAAAGCTAGTCTTTTTAACACATCAATTTTTAAATTAGTTTTCCATAGTTCCTTAGCTTAGCCATAAAAGAAAATATCAGATCAAAACAATAGCTTTCCAGTCTTAAATTACTTGATATTTTTTTTGCTCAATCTCTG